TGAACACTGCAGCCAGCGCTCCTATAACTGCATGATCACTATAATAACTCGGGTTGTTACCATGTGGCAGAATGTTGTCTTAGGCTGCCCATGTCAAACCCCAAGCTCACGGACCTAAAGCTGTCATTCTTAATTGGTGGTTTTGTCAAACAGATGCCACATCTTACTGGCCTAAGAACAAAAAGATCATTTTGCTGCCAACAGCTGAAATATTTCCACAGCTCTGTTTACAATTTAAGATTATAATTCAAGTTCCCTTATATTAGTGCCCTGCCCACAGACAAATCTTTTAAGTTCCATAAAAACTTTATTTGATATTTATATGTTCAGCTACATTAAAGTTGTATTTCTAGCAGGTCCTCAAAATATTTTCAGTGCTCAGGACAGTTTGAAGCCAAATGGGTTCTGCTACTTCTCAGTGGGGTAAACATGCCATTTGTAACATTTTGTTTATTGTTAATAAGGGGGGTGGATGTATTTTGCTGAAAATGTGCACCTTTTCACTCCTTAAAACCAGCAAAAGACTAACTTTTTACGAAAACTTATCAGCATTTCCGCATTCCTAATAGCCTGCTGACTGTTTAATTAATTACCAGCTGAGCGTTACACTCTTGTCTTTCTGATTACGTTTTTCTTATATATTGGAGAAGCATTCTGTTATTTCATTTTACAGTTAATTGTTTCCTTCTCATGTTTAGAGTTTTAACTAAGTTCAAAAAATGTTCACGTGGACATTTTACGGCGAGAATGAAAGCCGGGACTCGTATTTTTCACGTTCTTTTATGGGACATAATTTGCCGTCGTACCCCGACTCCTCTGCCGCTGGCAGCTCTGGACTTTTGCAGCAGTTTTGCGGTTTTCCAATCAGCGCTGAAACTGCGACAATTGAAAGTGCCAGCGACACACCTCTCATTCTCATCCCAGGCAGGCTGCCTGTTGTTTATCCCTTTGTGTGTATGTCGCCGTCTGTGCAAGGGCATGGATTTGGCTATGGACAGAAGGGACATGTTCCTGCCGGAACCGGTCCAAGCCCATCTGACACCCTAAGTGAGCATCACCACCGGCGCCCCCCATCCAACACAAAGTGAGATCGGCAGGTAAGCTGCATCCCCTCGGAAGTTGGCTCCCTAGGCAGCCGCCTATGTCATGTTTAGCAATAACTGGCCCTGTTCACCACCAATATTGTGAGGGGACCATGTTTTTAGGCTGATTTGCTTCTTACCAATATTGAATACTGCAACACCCTTGCATACTTGAAATCAATATAAATTACACTAAAGATGAAAAGTTAACAAAGTTAAACAGTAACAAATCAAACATAATAGCACGTACACGTGGATTATGATGGCTATCATTCTTGTGGATGTCTTTTTAATCGTCAATAAATTATTTTTATGGTTATTTGATTAAACTGAACGTGCAATTCTCTGATATTCAATAAACTCCTAAGTGGACCGTATGTTGCATTGCAATTCCGTCTGTCTCTTTGGAGTTTGGTCTGTTGAATGGCATCGACAATATAGCCTACAATTTCGATTGGTTCAATAAATGTGGCAGTTTAATTATTTGCTAAAAAAAATTAAACTAAATTAAACTATAGGCCTACTGCTTAAAATTTATCATGATGGACTAATCTATTACATTTTTACATAAAACCATATAAAACAAAATTTCTCACAATCAGAGAATTACTTTTCTCAGTCAGCCACACGCTATTAGCAGTACAATAATCATAATCATTCATTATAAAGCGACCACCGAAAGACAATACAAAAATGTTTGATTTTTAGAAGAGTGCATAAAACCAGCATACAGTCAAAATTGGCAGAAATGAAACATATCCCATGTGAATTTCACGGAAAGTAATTTAATGTCTAATCAATATGTCGTAAACGGTTATATTTTTGTTTGGATGTGTATGTTACAATCGTTTGTAGTTGTCAGCTTATGTTACACGTTAAAATCAAATGTATCCCAGTGCTCTCAGGCAGCCTGCCGATTCTTCCGCTTACAAGTTTTGTGGGCCTATCTGTTACATTTTTGCGGTAGCCTATTTTGTAAAACCTCTCAGTAACAAAAATATATACCAACTAAAGACTCATCGCGACACTGTCAAAATTAAAATTGATAGAAAAAGCAAAAAAGTATTTCACGGTTCTGCAAAAAATAATTTAAATTTTCGTGTTTTCTACTTTATTAAGTCTTAAGTTTATAACGATGCCGGCAAAAATCAGCCAGTTAAACAAGGATAAATGGAGCGGCGAGTCTTTGACAAAGTAATGCGTATTCACAGCCAGCTGCACAACAGGCCGCCATTAATTCAAATCTGCAGCTGATATTACGTCAAGCGTCAATAAATTATGATGCTATGGGTGCTTGGACGAAAGTATTTTTCTTTTATGTTAGTTTTATGTTATGTCACTTAAAGTTTGATGGAAATCTACGCTGACTAATTCAGGCTTTTTGTAGTCAATGTGTTCCAAACCTCCTTTATATAGGCTACAACCTATACTTTTTCAATAATCTCGCCGAGATCTGTATAACAACAACGACAACAAATACAAAGAAATTATCATTATTATTATTATTATTATTATTATTATTATTATTATTATTATTATTATTATTATTATTATTATAGTCAGCTGTTTATTTTTGTGCTATCTGCGGTTTTCATCTAGTTGTCTATATTTCTTTTTTGGAGGGGGGTGTCGAAATGTTTAGTTTACTGTAAGAGTAAATTAATCAACAGGTCTATATGACAACCGAGTATGGTGAAAAAGTCGTGGAGAAAATAAGTTTAAATTTAAACGACACAAATTGACTCAAGGCACTTTGTCGGATTTACAGTCAAAATATAGATTTATAATTCACGTTCTATCATAAAAACTCACTTTGATCTGTCATCCCGCGTGGCAACTTAGTCGCTCTTTAAATTTTCTGTCAAAAAAAGGTTTGCTATTAAATATAGCCCATGTAACCCAATGAATACCTTATGTGCAAATAACTTCTGTCAAAAGATTTTATAGTCATTCACATTACCTTATATTTTGAACAAATTGTGCTGTATTAGAATTGCATTGGACCTTTTAATACAAATTTATGAATACGTAATTTATAGTGGTAGAGCCTATTAATACAATATTAATACATTACAATAACATATTAATATCAACGTATTTATCCGCTTTCCAATAACCCATTCATCTCCCATCAATTTATCCTGCATGGGAAAAGTCGGAGGTGGTTTTACATAATAAAAATCCTAAAGTTTATCATCACAAAGTTGTAAATAGGTTCAGTCTTCTTCTGTCGTTTGTTCTTTTCCCCCAATTTAAAAAACACATGAGGTCAGAAAGCAAACATTTACAGAGAGGATTTATGGGAGCGTAGAAAAGTTATGCCCTGTGAGTTTAATGGAACGTATTTAGCCTTAAAATACCAACGACGAATGGAATCGTTATTATATGCTTCATTAAGGTACTGTACGTCAGGTACAGTAAGTAGCCTACATTTTAAGATAATTTGTGAAAAAATACATGACGGTCTACAATATGCCAATGATCCTCATCCATGCAGACGTTTTTAATCAATGAAGTCGCATAAGTCCATTGACAACAGAATAGCCATTGGTTTATTTGCATATGTGCATGTAAGATTTGTATAGGCCTGGTTGTATTTGCTCTACAACTGAGGCACCATTTCCTGTTCCTGTCAACGTGTGGCACCGTATCCCCCCCAAAAAAGTGTCTGTCCGTATCTGTGTGGTTGATGTATCTGTGATTATCTGATTTTGATGGTTGAGAACTGGAACTACTACTCCTACAACAGCAACTAGTACTACTACTCCTAGTACTACTACTAGTAGTAGTTATAGTAGTACAACAACAACAACAACATTCATAATAATAAATATTTTATTATTATTATTATTATTATTATTATTATTATTAAGCTTTCACATAGTAGTATGCACCGCGAACCTGTACTAAATAATTGTATTGGTTAAATTTCTTAGTTCACTTTTGCGGTTTAAAGGCTAAAATCATATAGTATCATTTTAGTTATTGTTTTTACTCATCATTGCTGAAGAGGATGAGGGTTTTCTGTTTTCCGCCTTAGTATGTTATGTACTGTCAATTTAATTCTAGCAGTCTAAAGCAGGCGGTGTTTGCACGTCTAAAAGTAAAGTAGGGCACTATATACATATATATTTAACGTATTGTTCTTTGTTTTATTGCTTTGCCGATGGTCTACGTCTATAAGGATATGTCTTTGTCATTGCAATATCCACAAGTATTAGTTAAATAGTCTAATCCAGCTCACTATTAAGGATTATAACATGTATTAAAGAAAATTTAATTCGTTCCTCTAAACGGAAGATTTAATGCTCCAAACGCTATACTAGTCTACTCTGTTATTGTGTTTACAAATGTGGTTATTTTAAAGACAGCTGCAAAATTTTTGCAGTTCCTGCCTAAACTAGTCAAAAAGTAGAATTTCTTGCGGGTCGCATACAGTATTTTCTCATTTAGTCTCTCGTTCGTTATGTTACTTTGTAGGAGTAACTACACAGGAGAATAGTTGCAGTGAAAAAAATAAATCGACGGAAAGGTGGTTATACTGTTTGAGTTTGTCGTTTATTTCAAATAACTCTGAATCTTGTCTGAAACACATTTTCTAAGTATATTAAGGATATACATTTTATAAGTATATTAACACAACAGATTAACACAAAACTACGCCTGTTAATGTCTTGATAACCCGCGCCATAGTTTTTAGGTGGCTCATTATTTATGAAGACAGAATACAGGATGACTGCGTTAGGATGAAGTCGTATCACGTATGCATTTTCAAAAAAGAACTGAAGATTTAAGTCTTTTTCAGACAGGCGTCACTAGCTCATTTACAAATCCAAATCACTTAAAATTGCAATCCTACCCTCGAAAACAACTAAAAAACAATAAAAATTAAATGATACAGCCTCTCAGTGAACTCACCATAGCAAGGGATGAGAGCTCCGCCGTGCCCGCTGTCTTGGTGAAGTTTGCTGTCTTCTGGAGGAGTTTTGCAAGAAGACCTTTGCATGAAAATGTGGTATTTGTGGAAGGTGCCTTCCTCAGATGTCGCATCCAATGACGGGCAATCCTGTTGGAAAGGGCTTCGCGACTTTTCCCCAAAAACCTGACCTTTGTTGGCCATGAAAGTGGGGCTGTATTTGGTATCACTTGCCTGGAATGTCCTAAAAGGGTTTCCTTGGTGATCCGTGCCTTGGGGTGCAGACGGGCTATAATACGAATCCATGGATGCCATATCACAGTATGAAACGCACGTCTCCGCGTTCATTCCTAAAAAAATGTTCTGGGGAAAAAAGGGATCCGATTTCTTTTTCTATCCGTTATTGATGGCGGAGCTAAGAGCTACTCTCACGCTGTCTCGGTCTTGCACGCACAGACTCGTACACACGTATACATGCTCTCTCACACACACTAGCGGTCGGGTGTAAATGATTCAGGTATTTTCCTGAATCTAAAAGCCGACCGAATCCTTGGGGTTTAGACCAGTAACAAAAAGTCTCCTTCTTTCAGAGGGCTGTACTCCTGCTATATGGTGAACAAAACCCTGTGACACAGACGCTGGTCCGGACCTCTGCTCAGTCATTATGTAGATGGGATGAATGGGTGAGGTCAGACCTCCGCTCCTAAGAAAAAAAATCTGTTTGGTTGTAGATGTAGAGGGATCCAATACATGATAATAGATGATAATACGTGATATGACTATGTAACTGATTTCAAGCAAGCAATTTAATGGTGGATTTGCCATGGTTAATCTAGTGAGGATGCAAGCCCCTACGTTTACAGTGAACAAAATACCAACAAATATATGAATTAATACGCCCGGGCCGTTCTTTCGAAATTCATGTTACTTTCACGAATCAAATTTGTATGCATTTTGTAGTGTGCAAGGAGTTTTGGTTTGTTTCATTTATAAGCGTTCAACGTGTCGGGATGGCACAAGATCATATTAAAATATGTGATTTTTATTGATTTGATATAATGTGTTGTCCAATTAAAACCTTATCCATACAACATGCTGAAGTGAAAGGACAGTGTTCCTTTCCTTATCGATTATTATTATCATCATCATTATCATCATCATCAAGAACAACAACAGCAACAATTATTATTATTATTATTATTATTATTATTATTGCACGTTGGTATGGAATAAAGTGCCGGTGTTAGCGTGACATTCCTATTCTATTAATACTTCTGCCATAACTTCCCACGCATTGGCACTAATCTCTACCTTTTATTATTTTTTTCAGTAATCTATTAGGTAATTAAAATGCTGAAGATTATCCGCACCGCCTATGTTGCAAGCGTCCGCAAAGGAAAGCCAGACTGAACGTCACACACATGCTTTGCACACAGGAAGCTAGACAGAGCTTCTGACTCCCAAGGGAAAGTTATAGGTAGACGTAGTCATTCCTAAGATAAAGAGGGTAGGGGGGTTACACTACAGCCCTGTTATTTGCATGCCCCGCCCCACTTCAGGCCAGTATCCGTGTGTTTGCGCAAATACACAATGTACAGTAAAAGTTATTTTAATACAGCAATATTACAACTGCAAAGACGAATAAATTTAGGCTGGAAAGGCAGGTGGCATTTAAAGAGGTGTTTTCTTACGTATGTTGTTTGTAAAGTAGTATGTAAAGTTGCATGGTGCTTAAAAGCAGAAAAAATAATGATAGTTTGATTGTGTATTTGTAACTCAGATTGGACAATATAGAAAGACAAACAAGTTAACGCTTCTCAATCTATTTCAGTTTCACCAATTCACACGAAAATTGCACACATTTGGTATTTGTTTCACACTTTCCCTGTCACAGTTTTTTCTATGTACATGTAAGTTAATTACATGTAGTAAACATCGTAGACCTTAATTTACATAATGCGCATTGGTCTTTAATTCTTGCATGCGTAAGGGCAAGAGATAACATATTTTCATAATTTTTTAAACTTAGGGGAGGGGTCTGTTTTGTCTGTTTATTTGTTTATTAATTTATGTATTTCATTAAGTATTGGCTGTCCTTATGTCCTAAAACAGCAGGGACTAGGGAAAGGCTATTTCTTGATAGCATCTATAATGCCAATCAACTTGCAGCAAACGGTGCAGATTTAAGTAAAGATAAATAACCTGCCGTATTATACGTCGTAGTGTGGAGACTGACGATTACGTTAGCTAAGTTTAAAACAATACACTAGAAGTCATTGCTTTTGAGAAATAGTTTAAAAGTCTACTTCCTGACATGGAATTAATTGTTTTATTTTGTATATTTAATTCCTGTTTTTCAGACTAGATATGATACGCTTTAAAATGACCCATCGTTATTTACTGTTGACACAATTTGTTTACCTGCATCTAAAAGCCCCCGATATTTTAAGCCTAGCCCCGAGTATTTTAGCCCCGATGCCAGTCTGCCTTCAAAAAAAAGGCAAGCCCCAGGTAAACTTAACTTAGCCATAGAAACGCCCCGTGTAATGCATTACATTGTTAAGTAAAAAAGATATTGGAACTACATTATGCATCGAGTATGCTAGATTCAGAATATTTTTTCTTTGCTGACAGCTGAATAGTTTTAAATGTACAGTATACTGACGAGTGTCATTCACACAATTGTCACGCTGCTGTTTAACTTGAGTTTGACTTGTATAGAGTAAGTAAAAAATGTGAGGGTTGCATGCGTTTCCATATTAAACCAAAAAGTATGAACGGTCGCAAATAGCATATGTTCCATTCAACATAACGTGGTCTGGTTACTACACAATTCGTTTTCATTTCTATATACATATAGGATAGTTAGTTAAATATAACTAAAACGATTTAATTTGAAGCCGAATAAAGCGGTAATAATACTGCTAAATGCAAGTGTAGATTATGTTAATTGAATAGATATTGAAAATATGAACCTGTTTCCATACCTTATGTAACACAGGACGTTCCAGCTGGCTGGTTGAATTCTTGCATTTAATTTAAAAGATGTCACTTGTACCTCATAGCCTGTTTAAGCTGGTTCATTTAAACGTTTTTATACATTTCCCCTTTTATGCGTAAAAGGACCCTTGTGGCGTGTTATTATAATCTATTATAACATGAGTTTCATCGTGTTTGGGGGGGTTCGCCTTTCGACATAATTCGACACTTACAGTTTTAGAAGAACATGTCAAAAAGATTAGGATTTTTACATATTAGACGAGTTCAAGTAAGTACATCGTTTGCAAGAATACGTGCGTTAATAAGTGGAAACAGAGTGGCAAAATAACCGTGCGCATACATTTTTAAATTTCAAGCGTTTGTTACCAGAATTTTTGCTATTTTTCGTGAAATGTCTATAAAATCACGTTTGTTATTTAGATGTTTATTAACATGGACTGTATGTCTTAATACTGTAATATTAGAATCCGTATTCTTTAAACCTATACTTATGCAGTTATTACTTTCCGCTTGGTTTGCGTAAAGTGGCAGGATCACACTCTTAGGCACTGATCAGAGATGCTCTATACCGGCAATTCGAAGCATATAAAAAATATCTAGAATCGCGTCCCACGTCTTTAAGTGGAATAACAGCTCAATGAAATGCATGGTTTTGTCTTATCCCGCTGTCTGTTTTCTCGTAATATGTTTCCATGTGTTAAAAATAAACACAGACATATAGACACTTTATTACTTTATTCTGTAGAAGACACGTGTTTTTACATCTCACTAACAGTATCAAGGTGCAACTGCATTTGCTTGCTGTGTTTGCTTTATCACGGAGTCCACAAAGAAGATTATACATAAAAACTTTAATTGCGTGGAATATGAAAAAAGAAAAAATGACAGAAAGTTTGAAAGCAATAGACAATCGATAGAGTTTTTAAAGATTATTTTATGGACGTCGTATTTATTCTTTCTCAAATGTTTAAATGGCAGCAAAATCAAACAATGATAAAAATGTTTTAAAATAATTTATTTAAACGATCTATTGAATATTTGCAGTATATTATGTAGTGTCAGCGTTGTATTCGTTTAATTACAGGCCTATACCGGCTGAATCGGCAGATTTACGTTAGTTAAAATAATTCAAAATTTCTGATTTACCAAAAAAGTATGTAACACAGGACATAAAATTGTATTTAGGTGAATAAAGTGTTTCCTATAATAAAGCGATGTTTTTTTATATCAGTGGAATTTTAAATGCAAACATGTTTTCTTTTGTCTAAGCTTCAGCGTAGGTTATTTTTGTTAAAATTTATACAGATGTTGCTTTAAATAAATTGTTTATTTTTTTAGAGGTTTGTCTAAAGAGAACCGCTTTAGACGGTACACGCGATGTTGCCCTGCACACTATATAAAGTAAAGCCGGAAACTGTTATTCTTTTAAATGAACATTTGCACGAAATGTGACGCTGAATTAAGATTTATAGAAGTCATATATGCTTTTCTGCCATGCGGCCACAGTCACTTATCATTTTAAACCAATTTCAGTTGCTTTCAGACCGTTTCCTATTTTCAGTTTTTCTGCAAACGATCTGCAAACGATTTCGTATCAGTTGTGAGCAAAATATTTGTCTAATCCCTGCCTATATAGATAACGTTTTCAAAGCATAAATTTACACAGCAGTGTGAATTCTTTCATTCTGTCTAATGCTGGTCCGAAATAAAAGGAAACGAAAGAGCTAGTTTTAGTAGTGTGCTTTAATCTAATTAGTGAAAACCAGCGGTTTTGAAACCATCCAGGCATCTTCCAGCCCCTTAACCTAGTCAGATTCGGGGTCTGGAACCAATGCCAGGCAGCATAGGGTACAAGTCTGTGGTAGGCTTATACCCTGGACAGGATGCAGGTACATGAAAACATGCACATGTGCAATCATAGCCTATGGATATTTTAGAGCCATCAATTAGTCTAAATGCGTGTATTTGAACATGGGAAGATCACGTAAACTAAACAACCATAGAGTGGAGGCGGGATTCAAACTCACAACCCTGTACTGTGACGTAATAGGGGCGCTCACTAAAACCGGCGTTTGAAACTACTCCAAGGAGTTAAATGGGTGACAGTTTTCAGAGATCCCTTTTTCTAAGGCAGTATTTCTTCATTTCAAACAAGCACTAGCACGTAGACTATGTATAACAGATTAGGTTATTATATGCCCGGTGTTGTGAAAAGAATCTGTATAATATATAGGAAATGAACATTACGTTACACATACATTGAGAACACGTCTGGAGGGCTTGTGCAGCAGTACTTAAATTTAAGTCAGCTCGCAGCTATCGATGGACGGCATGGGTCTCACACCCTATTGCAAATGAAAGGGCCTTTGGTGAGCTCCAAAGATGGTTGTTTATTTTATATATATTCCTGTCTTCAAATGTCAGACTGGATTACTTACAGCAGCACCAATCCTTGCTTCAGATATGAAAAACGTTTTTATCTTTATTATTTTCTGGTTGACGGCTGGTCATTTTCATTTACTAAACCTTCGTGTAAACATATTTGTAGCATGTAAGTAATGAGCGTTTAAACTGGACAGAGAGCTGATTCATTGGTGGGTGAGAGTTTGGCAATTGAATAATTTCATACAGGACGTTAATTTGCTTAATTTCTCACCTACACATACGGAGCTGCG